TTTCACAATTGTTGGTCACAAAACTGCACTCGACTTATACATGAGATCGACTTATACACGAGTATATACGGTAATTGGTATAGACGGGAATTGTATATCAATGGAGGGATACTCAGAATTATTTAAAATATTGTTGCTTTTGCCTTTGTCAATGAGGAGTAATAATTTCTTTTTTATAATTTTGGTAGGATCTTGAGTGAGGGTTTTATATACGGAAGTATTCTTCATGTGTTTATATGCTTCTGTCATATACATGTCTTTAGGCATAATCACCAGGCCGCCTCCCTTGTCTGCTGGTTTTATAACTATGCTATCATCATCTTTCATAGTTACATAGTTACATAGCTGAAAAGAGACTTGCGTCCATCAAGTTCAGCCTTCCTCACATATGTTTTTGTTGTTGATCCAAAAGAAGGCAAAAAACCCAGTCTGAAGCGCTTCCAATTTTGCAACAAACTAGGAAAAAATTCCTTCTTGACCCCAAAATAGCAGTCAGATGTCCACTTGGATCAAGCAGCTATTACCCCACTAATTAGAAATTATATCCCTGTATGTTATGTTTTTGCAAGTATTTATCCAATTGCAGTTTAAACATCTGTATAGACTCTGACAAAACCATATCTTCAGGCAAAGAATTCCGTATCCTTATTGCTCTTACTGTAAAAAACCTTTTCTTTGCCTTAGGTGAAATCTCCTTTCTTCCAGCCTAAATGTGTGACCTTGTGTCCTATGTATAGCCCTGTTTATGAATAGATTTACAGATAATGGTTTGTACTGGCCCCGAATATATTTTAATAATGTTATCATATCCCCTCTCAGGCGCCGTTTTTCCAAACTAAACAGATTTACATTTTTTAACCTTTCTTCATAACTAAAATGCTCCATTCCTTTTATCAATTTTGTAGCTCGTCTCTGCACTTTTTCTAGTGACATGATATCTTTCTTTAGAACAGGTGCCCAAAATTGCACAGCATATTCAAGGTGTGGTCTTACCAGCGATTTATAAAGAGGCAAAATTATATTTTCATCTTGAGAATTTATGCCCCTATTTATACATGACAAAACCTTACTGGCCTTAGCAACGGCAGATGGACATTGCATATTGCTGCCTAATTTGTTGTCTATAACAATTCCCAAATCCTTCTCGTGTGTGGTTATCCCTAGTTCACTACCATTTAGGGTGTAAATTGCTTGTGCATTCTTAACCCCGAAGTGCATAACTTTGCATTTCATCTGCCATTTTAGTGCCCGGTCCCCCAATCTCTCCAAATCCCTCTGGAGCAAGGCAATATCCTGCTCACATTTTATTACTTTACAAAGTTTTGTGTCATCTGCAAACACTGATTCATTGCTTTCAATGCCCATTTCAAGATCATTTATAAATATGTTAAATACAAGCGGTCCCAAAACAGAATCCTGAGGGACACCACTTACCACTTTTGTCCAGCTTAAAAATTTACCATTAATGACAACTCGTTGTACTCTATCCTTAAGCCAATGTTCTACCCAAGAACAAGAATATTCATCTGGACCACGTTCTTTTAGTTTGAAGACTAACCTATTGTGAGGAACTGTATCAAATGCCTTGGCAAAATCCAAGTAGATCACATCCACTGCAACACCCTGATCTATACTTCTACTTACTTCTTCGTAGAATGCAATTAGGTTAGTTTGACATGACCTATGTTTCATAAAACTATGCTGATTATTGCTAATAACACAGTTCTTCCCAATTAATTCCTGAATATTATCCCTTAATAGTCGTTCAAATAATTTCCGAGTCACAGAAGTTAAGCTCACAGGTCTATAATTTCCAGGCAATGATTTTGAACCATTTTTAAATATAGGAACAACATCTGCCTTCTTCCAATCCTCCGGTACAATACCTGAAACAAAAGATTCTTGAAAAATTAAATACAGAGGTTCACTTATTTCCCCATTTAGCTTTTTAAGTACTCGTGGGTGGATACCTTCAGACCCCGGAGCTTTATTTACATTAATTTTCTTTAATAGCTGTAGCACCTTGTCACACGTTATCTGCAAGTTTGTTGTAGCAATTATTTGCTTATCTCTTGCCATAGGATCCTCATTAATATATACTGAAGAAAAATAGTTATTTAAAATTTCTGCCTTTTCCTGGTCTTCATTAACTAACAGACCCATCTCTGTTTTCAGTGTACCTACACATTCATTTTTTTTTTTTTTAGAATTGATGTACTTGAAAAATTTAAATTCTTTCAATACTTTCCTCTCTTTTTTAGTAAAGTTGTTGACATCTGTTTTGCTGTGTTTTATTTTATTTAAATCCCAGGTTACTAGCTTTTCAAAGGTTTCTAAACATCCTGATTTGTGAGTATAGGGAAAGAAGGTTGACTTGGGTTTTATTTGTGTGTGCTTAATTTCCGAACTGTTGTCTGTATTTTGTGGGATAGTGTTGGAGATAGTTTGTTTGTTAGTGTAAAATCTCTTTAATGCGGCTTGTTTTACAATCTTATTAATGTCTATATAGGCAGAGAATTTGTTAAAATTTCAGGTAGGGGCATATTTCAAGCCTTTACTCACAACTGCTAGCTTTGTAGAGGTTAAAATTTTGTGAGAAAGGTTAAAAATTTCTGAGTCTTGGTTGGAAGAGCTTATGGTTTTTATTCAATCCTTCCTTTCTTGGATTCTTCTACCAGCTCTTCTGCCTCTAATGCTAGGCTTTTTTCTTTCTTTCTATTATTTCTTCTGTTGGGTATATATGTGTCTGGTATCTCCTTGGTTCTACTTCTAAAAAATGTTCTTCCAAATCTGCATAGTCAGAAGATAGTGTGTAGAAACGGTTTCTCTTAATTAAATTATATGGGGAAGGAGAGGCTTTTAATTGTTGTCTGGTTGGGGTTCTGTCTTTTAATAAATGTGTGGTCTTATTAGTGTAGGGAGAGGATGCTGCCGCTGATAGGGACAGCTTAGGAAAGAATTCTGCAAACTATTACATTAGTGGGGTGGGGTGCACTTCATATCTGAGAGTCAAATGGAATCTTCAAATACCGCCGGTTACATCGAAGTTTTAAAAAGTCAATTTTTTTTGGTGCTAAATAGTACATTAGTGGGATAGTACACTAGTGGGGTGCACTTCATATCTGAGAGTCAAATGGAAGCGTCAAATACTGCTGTCACGTTGCAGTTTTAAAACTTAAAATTATTTGGGTGCTAAACTGCTAAATAGTATTTTAGTGGGGTGCACTTCATATCTGAGAGTCAAATAGAAGCGTATAATAGTGTGCTTACAGCGCAGTTGTAAAAATTCTAATTTTCTGGGTGATAATCTGCTAAATAGTAAATTTTGGGGAGTGCACTTCATATCTGAGAGTCAAATAGAAGTGTCTAATAGTGTGCTTACAGCGCAGTTGTAAAAATTCTAAATGTTTTGCTGCTAATCTGCTAAATAGTACATTTGCGGCCTGTGGAGTCAAATCGAAGAGTCTAATAGTCAAATTGAAGAGTCTAATAGTGTGCTTACAGCGCAGTGGTAAACATTCTTATTTTCTGGGTGTTAATATGCTAAATAGTACATTTTGTGGCCTTCTCTTCATATCTAAGAGTCAAATAGAAGCGTCTAATAGTGTGCTTACAGCGCAGTTGTAAAAATTCAAATTTTCTGGGTGCTAATCTGCTAAATAGTACATTTTGTGGCCTGCTCTTCATATCTGAGAGTCAAATAGAGGCGTCTAATAGTGCGCTTACTGCACAGTTGTAAAAATTCTAATTGTTTTGCTGCTAATCTGCTGCTTACATTGGAGTTTTAAAAAGTTTTTTTTTGGTGCTAAATAGTATATTTGGGGTGTTCACTTCATATCTGAGAGTCAAATCGAAGCGTAACTTTGATTCGAATTTACTACATCGGTCACTTGTAATATTGGTTCACACCTACAACACTTGTTACACAGATCTAAGTGATAGAAAACAGATTGATATTTTCTACACTAGAAACTACCAGATAACAAGCAGCTATATTTAAACCAGTTATCAATAGCTAAGAGGTACTTACAAAACAAAATTGTAATTCTGGGGCAACACCCTCACAAGTCAAACTGAGAGGTCAGACTTTACATGCTGGAAAAACACAGGTGCCAATTGCTGTGGCTTTCTGCAGTGTGCATACCGGCAAGGAGGGCAGGGTTGAGGAGTGGGTGGAAGATGATGTGGAGGATGATGAGGTCCTAGACCCCACATGGAATCAAGGTCATGCGAGTGATGTGTGCAGTTTGGAGGAAGAGGCGCTGGTCGCACAGAGGCACCAGTACAGCATAAGATGGAGTAGGGTGCAAAAGCGGAGAGGCCGTCCCCTAGCGCTCGTTGGCATGTATTAGCTTGAGAATTACCAGTTATCCGAGTAATACATGTAGCGATCAAAGGATCCATAATAGAGTTGAGCGAACCCGAACAGCAAAGTTCAGGTTTGTACCAGATTTAACGATCCATTCATAGTTTCACAGTCAGGTGGGAAGTCCGGTGACCAGGATCCAGACAATGTCTGGGCAGCGGTCGGATGACCGGGACCCAGTATGCCTGATGTAGAAGTTATGAGTCACAGTGTGGAATGGATTAGCAGGGTCTGGTGCAGGGTAACCTCACGCCCCCCGGTGTTGAGCACCAGCGTTTGTGCGGCCACATACCAGGACCCTGATGCAGCTTCAGTAAAAAGAGTACTGGATTCCAGAAGCCATCACCAGACTAATCCGCAACTTGGAACAGGATGTGACATTCACTGTAGCGACTGGCACTTTTGGCATTGTCACCCTGCTGCTGCTCGCCTGTCTGCACTGCAGCGTAACTTCGGCCTTCCCGCTCACCGCCTCATGAGACTGTACGAGCAGCAGAAGGCGATAGTGGAATTTCAGCTGCAGCACACACGGGTCAGTGGCTCTGCACCAGACTTCCCTCCAATTGATCAGAGTTAAAGGATTTCAAGTGGACTCATTACAATTACTCTAAAAGTCCTGTATTGTTATTTGTCGTCACTACCTTCCTGCGTCGGGAGTGGGTCATTTGCGCGCCTACTGCCTTCCTTGCTATTTGCTAACCATTTCTCAGGGTCCCTGTAGGGAATGGAACCCTGATTCCCCATTACCCGTGCTCACCATGGTAGGCGCAGAAACGGGCATCGAAAGTTGATATGGATGCCATCCGCATGCAAAGTCACCACCACGGGGATGTGCGATTAGCCCGAGGTTCTCTAGATTCAACAAAGTGCGTGCGCAACTGTAATGTCTACAGCTACTCTGCAAAACAGAGTTGTCTTTTTTTATATGTCCCAATATTTTGGGGGCTACCCCAATTAAAAAAAGAATTTACTGACCGGATCAAATGTTAATCTTTGATAAGTGGTACTGTCTGTCAATTGACGCATGATCTCCGATTTATACTGTTGGTATGCCATAATGACAATGGCTCCCCCTTTATCCACGGGTCGGATGATAATCTCCAAATCTTGTTTCAGATCTTTAAGTGCCGCTATCTCAGTTTTCGTTAAGTTTTGTCTGTGATCCGACGTTTTTTTAATAATCTGTTCAGTATCCTTTCTCAGCGTTTGCATAAATGTTTTAATAGAATTATTCATTGTCTTGTTCTCAGTGGTATACTTCAATTTAAATGGATTCTTCTGACCAACTGGTTTATCATCTTTACGGTGCTCATTGTTGATCAAAATATGTTGTAATCTGTACAGCTCAATCTCATTTTTAAATGGATCAGGTTTAGTCACTGGTACAAAAGTTAGCCCTTTAGATAACACTGAATAATGGTCCACTGTCAATAATTTTTGGGACAAATTAAAAACATTAGTTATCTCTTCCGAATAGGTGGTTTGCCCTTGAAACTTGTGTTTCTGTCTTCCCTTTTGTCCTCTACGTGGGATTGCATTCTTCTTCTGCCTCTGGTGTCGACCCTGGACGTCCCAGGGGATTCTTGTGGAAACGTGTCCTCTTCTAAAAAAGGTACTGTTCCCGTACGGGATTTATCTTTTCTAGTTTCGGCATCTGAGGCAGACTCACCTGAGCTGATATCCACCGTTTGAAATGTAGGTTTTTAAATCCAGTACCTGTATCGGGGTGTTGAATCCTTATATGAAGTTTGTGTGCCACTGAGCCATCTATATACCTGGTGGTATTGATAATCGTGGTTAACTTTTGCAAATTTTTGCTTTTTGAACCTAATAAGTTCATTCTTGTATTTATTGATGTCGTCTTGTAACTTAAGCATTTGTGTAGTTGCTGCTGCGGATTGTAAAGCCAGTGTATTAGTGACCTCAAACTCTTGGATAGAATGTCTCACCGTAATCAATTCTTTGCCAACTTCTTCTACCACAATTACCATCCAGTCCAAGGAACACTTGTTTACAATATTCATCCACTTCTTGCAGAAATCTGGGTTCACTTTCACTTTCTCTACATCCTATATTTTAATGTGTTAAGCATATGGCTCATCAGTTACTACTGGCTAATATATTTTTAATCTGTTTTTCACCATTTCTCGGCTATGGTCATATTAATTTATGGGACCCTTAATTTTTACACAGAGGTAATCTTCTTAAAGGCACGGTCAGGCCTTAATCACTAAATAAGTAAGGTATACTAAATACACCACTCGGCACCATTTACTCCCGCTGGAACTTGGTCATTCATATTATAAATTCATTTCCTTTCCCTAATTCACTAACTAGTCTTTCTGCATATCTAAGTTTGCTCCGTTACACTACGTTTTTATCTTTGTTTTGGCATGCCATAGGTTAAGCTCTAACGGTTTCTTTTTCACAAGGCTCATTGCAGTCCATAAGCACGATTGCAAATCTCTGTTTCCTAAAACCTTATATACAGGTTCATTATACTTATATGTTTTTAGGCTCTACTACATTTCCTTCTAGTATCCTGTATTACTGTATCAGGTAAGAAGGTTTACCAGTTGTTTTTGTTTTCCAGTAGAATTTGTCTTCCCGTGAGGCCTCATCCAGCCTCCACCACCCCCCCCTCTAAATGTCTAAACGGGCCACAGCAAAGACCCTGCACTACAATTTCTACGACAATCACCTCCTAAACCAACACCACTTTGCTACTACTAATTGTAACAATACATTGCTTGTCTTTGGTTTCTACATTTCATTACTTAGACCTGCGTCAATACCGCAGTCTCGCCAAGTTCTACGCCATCAACCACTAACAGCCCACCTGATATCCCATATTTCAGCACCAGATATTGTTAAATCTTACTCACTATGATTACTTTTCTTGTAAAGGCCTCACTCCACCTTCTTACCATTTAAATTCACAATTGTGGATACCCAGGGGCTTGTCTCTAATTACGAACCAACGTTCAGGTCCCTCATCTTACACAGGTTCTTAGGTTACAGTATCATTGATACACCCATCCATACGTTCGACATTTTTACACCAGGCATACCAGTGGCACGCCACTCCACTAGCATCTATCTTACCCCTAGGATATCTTGGCCGGACTTGTTCCCTTCAGAAGTGAGTATATATACAGTCAGGTCCATAACTATAGGGACATCGACACAATTCTAATCTTTTTGGCTCTATACATCAACACAATGGGTTTGAAATGAAACAAACATGATGTGCTTTATCTGCAGACTTTCAGCTTTCATTTGAGGGTATTTACATCCAAATCAGGTGAACGGTGTAGGAATTACAACAGTTTGTATATGTGCCTCTCACTTTTTAAGGGACCAAAAGTAATGAGACAGATTAACAGTCATAAATCAAACTTTCACTTATTAATACATGGTTGCAAATCCTTTGCAGTCAATTACAGCCTGAAGTCTGGAACACATAGACATCACCAGATGCTGGGTTTTATCCCTGGTGGTGCTCTGCCAGGCCTCTACTGCAACTGTCTTTAGTTCCTGCTTGTTCTTGGGGCATTTTCCCTTCAGTTTTGTCTTCATCAAGTGAAATGCATGCTCAATCGGATTCAGGTCAGGTGATTGACTTGGCCATTGCATAACATTCCACTTCTTTCCCTTAAAAAACTCTTTGGTTGCTTTTGCAGTATGCTTCGGGTCATTGTCCATCTGCACTGTGAAGCACCGTCCAATGAGTTCTGAAGCATTTGGCTGAATATGAGCAGATAATATTGCCTGAAGCACTTCAGAATTCATCCTGCTGCTTTTGTCAGCAGTCACATCATCAATAAATACAAGAGAACCAGTTCCATTGGCAGCCATACATGCCCACGCCATGACACTACCACCACCATGCTTCACTGATGAGGTGGTATGCTTTGGATCATGAGCAGTTCCTTTCCTTCTCCATACTCTTATCTTCCCATCACTCTGGTACAAGTTGATCTTGGTCTCATCTGTCCATAGGATGTTGTTCCAGAACTGTGAAGGCTTTTTTAGATGTTGTTTGGCAAACTCTAATCTGGCCTTCCTGTTTTTGAGGCTCACCAGTGGTTTACATCTTGTGGTGAACCCTCTGTATTCACTCTGGTGAAGTCTTCTCTTGATTGTTGACTTTGACACACATACACTCCTGGAGAGTGTTCTTGATCTGGCCAACTGTTGTGAAGGGTGTTTTCTTCACCAAGGAAAGAATTCTTTGGTCATCCATCACAGTTGTTTTCCGTGGTCTTCCGGGTCTTTTGGTGTTGCGTTCTTTCTTTTTAAGGATGTTCCAAACAATTGATTTGGCCACACCTAATGTTTTTGCTATCTCTCTGATGGGTTTGTTTTGTTTTTTTCAGCCTTATGATGGCTTGCTTCACTGACAGTGACAACTCTTTGGATCTCATATTGAGAGTTGACAGCAACAGATTCCAAATGCAAATAGCACACTTGTAATGAACTCTGGACCTTTTATCTGCTCCTTGTAAATGGGATAATGAGGGAATAACACACACCTGGCCATGGAACAGTTGAGCAGCCAATTGTCCCATTACTTTTGGTCCCTTGAAAGTGGGAGGCACATATACAAACTGTTGTAATTCCTACACCATTCACCTGATTTGGATGTAAATACCCTCAAATTAAAGCTGAAAGTAGTTAAAGCACATCGTGTTCATTTCATTTCAAATCCATTGTGGTGGTGTATAGAGCCAGAACGATTAGAATTGTGTCAATGTCCCAATATTTATGGACCTGACTGTATATATATATATATATATATATATATATATAAGACTTCCTGTGACTCATCCAAAGCAATAGGACCAATACTCAAGGTTAGTATCTACATACGTTCAAGTACATCATTCAAGGAGACAAGCCCCTTAGAGAACTGGCATTTAGGGTTAAGTGCTGGCCTTACCTATCCTAAGTAATACACTGGTCCTGTGAGGTCTACACCCCACCTCAACACGGAGGTTCAGCCCCACGACCAAATCATAGTTAGCCACCTCGCTCGCCCTTCACGTTTTGAAGCTCTTACGGTCACTGAAAGACCAACATCCTGCCACCACATTCAAGTGGCCATGAATCCCCTCGGCCAAAATCATAGGTAGAGCCTCTCACCGCCACTTGGCACTAGCAAGGCCTCACCTGTCACTTGGTTCTAGTTAAATTCTTCACCTCGGCACTAGTTAGCAGGCCAGTTATCCGAAGGTCTCATCCTCCAACTTCATAACACCCTGCTTATCCAAATCATTATTCCTTTTTCAGAATGTCACAAGAATCAATCCCAATCATTGATCTGCTGTTGGACTAAATACCCAGCACGCCAGTCAGGCCTGAGTCTCCAGAAGAATCCCTCACCCCTTCTACCCCCAGATCCCTGAGATATTGAGCTATTCCAAAATATCAGCAGAGTTCAGTCTCAGGGGTATCCCCTTTCCAGCTACCACTAGAAAGGCAGAAATATTCAGGCACATGATGGCACAGGCCAACAATCTCAGGCCAGGCACTAGTTCACAAGGGCCATCAACTAACACCTCTGTTTCCACCCAGGAGACTGTAACGGCACTCCCGACATAAAGGAGTTAAACCGTCGTTTAGTAGAGCTTCCCCTTGCAGAGGTATATGCACAGTTACTGTAGAACCCCAAACTCCCGAACTGGAACCAGGGGAATGCTCCTAACTCCCGAACGTTGTACCTAGTAGTACTCCAAACTCCCGAACGGTAATCTCACGAATAGCTGTTAACCGACGAGCAGGCACAGCATCCAAGCGGTTTACACTTCCAGCAATCAGTCTCTAACCGCATATAGTAAATCCCCCCCAATCACAAGACCAAGCTCCGTATTATGGGTAAAACAAGATCTGGCTTTAATGAGGGCTACCTGCCCGTATTTATGCAGGTCTCCCACCT